AGAAACTGTTGAAGAAATGGACCTGTGCCAATGACACAAAAGAGCGGGATGGAATTAAAAGTCCACAGACCCTCCCACGAAGTCTCCCCCTTCTGCCAGTCTACTCCATTTCACATAGCTCTAAGGACTGGTTTCAACAACCCCCACGCAAATTCACTGACAGAAAATAAATTGTTTTTAAACTTATCTTTTTTTTTTTTTTTTTTTTTTTTTAAAAAGACAGAGTCTCACTCTGTCACCCAGGGTGGAGTATAGTGGCACAATCCTATAATCGTTTACTGTAACTTCGAAATCCTGAGTTCAAGTGATCCTCTGGCCTCAGCCTCCCGAGAAGCTGCGACTACAGGCATGCATCACCACGCACGGCTAATTTTTTGTATTTTCTATTTTTATAGAGACGGAGTCTCACTATGTTGCCCAGGCTAGTCTTGAACTCCTTGGCTCAAGCAATTCTCCTGCCTTGGCCTCCCAAAGTGTTGGGATTATAGGCGTGAACCAGCACACCTGGCCCCTAACCTTATCTTAAGATAGGTTCCCATCCTAATTCTTGAGGTTAGCCATAGGGAAAAACACTAAAAATTGGCGAAAGGAAAAGAATTGATAAATTCAGTGCCAAGATTACAGATTGGAAATTACGAGATTATCATCTACCACCTCTGCCCCAGAAACAGAGACCTTCTTTATGTAAAATGGTAGAGATAAAACAGACTGAAAAAGCTGCGTAGAACTGCAGAAGTTCTTTTGGAAACTGAAATATCTGGTTGGGCCTACCTTTTCAGGCACCGTGTCCATAACCAGGTCTCCATACATGTTCATCACCTGGGTGAAAGATGGGAGGCAACTTGCCATGGAGGGTGCAGCATGGGTACAGGGCTCCCCCATGCAGAGGGCCCCCAGACACCCTGCACCCTGAATCACCTCTCAGGCACGTTTCTCTACCCGATTCTCACCTGGTCATTAAGCCAGTTCTGTCCATACAAGGTCCCCAAGTCATCCATGGTCAGCACATGCCGCTTATAGGCCACTCGAAAGCCCCTCACCATGGCATTGCCTGGCATCCGCTGGTATGACTGGATCAGCTGCAGCACCAGGCCCTTCCTGAGTAGGCCAAGGGTGGAGTCACACAAGAGACGATGCAGCTGGGGCACACAGAAATACCTACTACTTCCTAGAATAAAAATCTTAACTGACCCAGTTGTTTCTTTTTTTTGGTCATGGGTCCCCTTGAGGATCTGCTGAAGGCCCACTCCCTAGAATACTCAGGTATACATAGTATTCAGGGTGCCAGGTAAAGACCCTCCCAGTCAGCTTACAGGGACTTGGCACCTTGCCTACAGATTCCTCCCCTTCAGCTCTACCTTCCTTCATCTCCCCAAATACATCCCTATGGGAGAAAAGGCAGCAGCATTCTCTCCCCATCCCCCAGGTCTCAGACCTCCTTTGAAGGGCACTGGTCTTTTAAGCCTCACCTAGAAGGTGTAGAGAACTCCTGCTGGAAAATGTCCTCCAATTTCTCTACTACCTCATCAGTGCTGAGGGGGATGAGGCTGCCATAAGTTTGAAGGAATTCATCTAAGATGCCTGAATGGTGGAGAGAAAAAGGAGGGGGGTGAGGCCTCCAGACTCTGTTCTAGGAGTCAGCCAAGAGAAAAGAGGCTAGGTCCTCTAGGGCTCCTTACTCTGTACGCAGGTCACATGCTCCTCTCGCAGGGGGCTATGCTGGCCAGCTTTCTCCCCAGGCCGCTCTGCCTCTTCCACAGTGCCCAAATCTGAGCCTTGAAAAAGCTCCTGGGCCACATGGTCCCCGATGCTGCATACATTGCTTATGAGGATACTGGCATCAGGGGGTGCCAGGCTGCGCTCCCCTTCTGGCCCAGATGGTCCCCCAAAGCCATTGGGTAGAGTACACGAGAGGAGGCCTACAGGGCAGGGGAAATAGAATGGGGATGAGAAATTGGCCAGGTGAAAGGACAATGAGACATATACAATTAACGATGGACACAAATGGTAAGACCACAAGAAGGATAAACTGAAGCAGAATCTACCAACATAAGAAATGGAGACCACAAAGCATAAGGTAAGGATGTCCAAGAGATTCTAGAGGGACAGGGAGAAAGAGTTCCTACTCATAGATAGGAGGAAAGAAAGAAAAGATTAGCATTCAGAGATGTAAATTTCAGGGATATTTGTCACCACTAAATACCAAACACCTAGCACGGTACCTGGCATAATATATAGGCTCAGCAAATATTTGAATGTTTAATAAACATATAGAAAGACTGAAATCATTTGGCTGGAGTTCTCTGAGCGAGAATGTCACACACAACCATACAGATGATGTACTCCAATACTGGGAGAGGTCCCATGCCATCACTATGAGAATGGCACCTTCTGGAGATGTTCACACAGGGGCTCTTATCCTGAGAGGCCAAAGAGGGATTTCAAGTCGACAAGACTGTCTAATTTTTCTAAACCACAGCTCCTTTTCTCATCTGTGCTCAAGACCAGAAGACACCTACTTAGGGATTCTGTTTCCAGCCCTGATTGTCTCCCAGGCTTACTTTCTGCTCAGAGTGGGGCTTAATGAAGACATTTTGCAGCTGCTCTGGACCCCTCACTCTGCCATCCTACTTTCCTTAGGCCCAGTTCTCACCACAGCAAGAGGCTCCTGGTGATCCAGGCTCTTAGCCATCCCTACCCCCCCACACTGCCCCACCCCTTTCCCACCTTACCCGAGTCAGGGTCCAGAGGAGATTTTGGAGTCCACCTTAGTCCATCTTCCTCCATGGGGGGCCCAGAGAGCACTGGTGGAGACCCTCTAACTCCATCCTCAGCCATGAGAGCACCTAGCAGACCCAGCCGGGGTGGAGGTGGTCCCCGGGGGGAGTCAAAACGACAGCAGGGTGATGGCACCTGTGGCGTGGCACCCCCTTCCTGGGGTGAAAGATGGTTCTTGGGGTGTGCAAGGCTCCGCCGCCGGCCCCGGTGGCGCCCCCAAAGCTTCCAGTGGAATGTCAGCGAGGTGCTTTTTGAGTACAGCAGCATCCGGAAGGCTCTCATAGCTCGGCGGCGGCGCTGTGAGCAGGTTTTTCGATGAGTGGGGCGGGGAGGGCGAGGCCTCTGGGAAGTTCCCAACTGACCCCATCTGGGGGGCAGCCTCCAAGCTGCCACTTCCTCCTCCTCATCTTCATCCTCCTCCTCTTCCTCTTCTTCCTCCTCTTCACTAGCTGAGGCATCAAAAGAGGGTCGAGGGACAGGGAGGCGTCTGGCTGGCACTGTGGTCCCTGACCCAGGATCTGGCCCAAAGCCTCCACCTGACTTGAGTCGGGGTTTCGGGGGTGGGGGCCAACGAAGACGCTCCCGCCTGGGGCTTGAGTAAGCTGGGGCTATGCCAGGTCCCGGAGGCTCAGGGCCCCAAGACCCGGTCCCTTGTATAGTCTCTTTCATCTTCCAGTACCCTATAAAACAAAGGTTAGAGTATCAGAATCCAAACATCCTGTCCCCTAGATCCTGCATCTCCTCCTTAGCATGGCCCCTCTGGATTCAGATATAGACTAAACTACGAAAAGAGAAAAAAACATGAAACTCCTAACTTCAGATTTTCCCACTTAACATGGTCCACAAAGGGCCCTTTAGAGTCTGTGCCATCATCTCTCCCCTGCCCAGGTAGAGGAAAGGGAAACTGGCTAAGCAGCAGGCCTCAGGGATCTTATTTCTCAGAACTCGAGCTCAAACCCAGTAGTATTGTCAGGCTCTACTTCTTTATTTGAACACCACCAGCGCTGTCCTTTGAGAGCCTAATAAGAATGATTTCTTTGCTCAGGGAGATGGCTCAGCACAGGAATCCTAACATGGTACAGTGCTACCTGAGGAGAACATAACGTTCACAGGGAAACTGTGAGCTAAAGTGGGAAGACAGTTCTTCTCTGCCACCCTGGAATGAATGGGGGGTGTGGGCATGCTGAGGGTCATCTCAGGTGGGAATGAGGATGCCAGGGCTATGGTTCAGGGCATTGAGTTTGATAAAAGGGGAAGGACTTTGAAGGAAACTGAAAGAGAACAGAATCGGTGCTGAAGCAGCCAAATCAAGGCGCTAGGACAGAATTGAGCTGCGCGAGCCAGGCCGGCCCAGCCCCCTCCTGCTTCATCCCCGGGAACCAGAATGAGTCCCAGCACCGGTGTGGTCCTACAAGCTCGGACGGCTCGGCGCACAAGGGCCTTAAGAAGCCCCTACGAGGGCCTCTTGGCCCCGGTTAGGTGGGAGCGAGGCCCAGGAATGGGAGAGGCCACGGCAGGGCTAGGGGGACGGGTGGGGGGGTCCTCACCGGGAGCTGGGAAGCCGGGCGGACGGGCCCGAGAGCGGGCGTCTCCGGCCTCAAGCTTCCCGGCTCATCTCTCCGGCGACGGCGGCGGCCCCGCCACTCCTGCTGTCTTCAGGCACAACCGTCTCAATTCAGGATTCCAACGCTTCTGGGCCGCGTGCCGCGCCGCCGAGCCGCCGAGCCGCCCCGCCGCGGCCGCCGCTTGCTCTGCTTCAGCCTCCACCTCCACTACCACCACCACTACCACCGCCACCGCCACCGCCACCTCCTCCTCCCCCTCCTCCTCCTTCTCCTTCCCTTCCCCTCCCGCGAGCCCCAGGCCCACCGGCGGTGGTGGCGCACGATTACTACGTCACACCCGGCGAAGAGCGCCGGCGCGGCTACCACGCGCCCGGTCTCGCCTACCCAGGAACGTAGACGCCACGGGGCGGTCCTGCCCTGAGCTCTACGCAGGGCTGCGCCTGCGCATATCAGCTGACCTGGCCGGGCCCTGGTGCGCCTGCGTGTCTCCTCACGCCCCGCGGCGTAGCCCTATCGTCTCCGCGCTCGTGGGCCTTTGCCTGGTGGGCCCCCCCCGCCCAGTTCCTTGGTACGGTGGGGCTCTCCAAATGAGAACCGGGAGGGCAGGGAGATCCCAGTACAGGGACGGCGTTGAGGCGAAACAGTGGAGGGAATGGAGCCGGGGTATCATTCATTATCTTTTATTTAACTTTAAGCAGGGCTTGAGCAGAAAGAAGAGGTCAGAGGAATGAGGAAAGACCAACACCAGGGCGTACGATTCATCGAAGGGTCCCTGGAGGTCAGTCCCAGCCCGGAGGGGCTTCAGGTGACCTGCACACGCCAGGGAAATGAAGAGCATGAAAGGCAAACCTTGGGACCCGAAAGGGACCGTCATCGTCGTCGGGAGCCCCTTGCAGACTGGCACATAATAGACAAACCTCTGGAGATAGTGATGGAAACTGGGGCCCCATAGATGGAGAAAGGGAAGTGAGAAGGAGATTTCTAGTGGGATAAAGAGGCAGAGGGTACCTGGAGAGAGGTGTGGCATGGGAAACCAGAGGTTTTCCCTAGCGGAGGGAGGCTTCGTGGACTTCTGCCAGTAGTCGGGATGATTCCCTCAAACTGCCGCTAGATGGTGGTGCTGTTCTGGATGCATTCCAGTGACCCCATGGCAGGCCTGGACAATGCCTGGCAGCCGCCACCCCCCTCACGCCCCCACGCCACCAGCACATACACAAGAATTTGGGGCAGGAAGGGGAACAGAAGCAAGATATCCATGAAATCAAAGTCTGGGGGGTGGGAGTAGAAAGGGAAAAGGGAGGAACAGAGAGTCATGAAGTCAAACCCAGGAAGAGGCCTCAGTTCCTGCCCACTCCCTATCCTTTGTCTCGTCAGTTCGTGGCTGTCTACAATATGTACCCACCCCAGTCTTCCAAGCTCAGAACCACCTTTTATAACACAATCACAGTTTCACAAACCCCAGGAAGGTTCCATGTGGAGAGAGGCTAAGTTTCGCCCTTGCCCGGGGAATTGTGACACTCAGAATGTCCCCTTGGTGTAAATGGAAGACACCTGAGAAAAGGGAGAAAATAGATCCTCAGTGAAGCACAGCCAGCCAGATACCCCGCCTTTTCCAGCTCCACCTTTTCTCTGCCTCCCGTAAGGACAACCCAGGGATTCTGTGCTTCATTCCTCAGATCTGCATCTATACGCAGGCTTCCAACCCACTGTCACAGCACTGCTGCCCCCAGGTCTGAGATGTCCTGCTCTCCTAATGTCCCCCATCTGCTGCCTGCACGGTTCTCACCTGCGCTATAGCAGCTATTGTAGGCCCGGTCTGGGTTGGAGGGCATACTTCGTATACATCGGAATAGAGTCTCCTGCTGTCGCTGGCCTTCCCGAGACACCACCTGACCCATGGTGAAAGTCACGTCATGAAACAGGACCTGGCAGGGAAAGGAGGAGATGTTGAAGGAAACAGATGGCATGGCTCAATCCTGGGAGGCCTCGATCCCTGACAAGGGAGCCAGGGAACTAAGAAGAGTCTTCTAAGTTTGGTGGGAACAGAGTGATCAGGAACCCTCAGAAGCAGGACATACAGGCTCTGAGAAAACAGCGAAGAGCCGGCCTCTGGGGCCCCACAGGAGGTTCAGCCTATGGCTGGGGTTACCTGGCTATACAGCAGATAAACTCCAGTGTCCCAGACTCGGACAACGTATCCTTGAGCCTCCAGGCCTCTCCCACGCTTAAGAGCTGGTTGCCACATCACCTCTGTCACGTCAGAGTCCTCTGGAGGCAAGGGGTATGGTGGTTAGGATTTCTTTGCACTCTCAGATGCTTATTGGCTCTCCCCTTTTCATCTATACGATTACTCTTGGGCCCACGTGCCGGCCCCAAAGTCCTAGTTCTTGCCCCTCCCAAAAAGCCATTATTGAAAATAGTGCCTACCCTTGGAGGTGATGTTAATAGGAACAAGGTGCAGAACTGAGCGCTTCTCTGAGGAGAGAAGGAGGGAATCTCAGCAGCGTCCACCTACCCCAGTTGCCCTGTCATCAGCCTCCACCCTCACCCTGGCTGGGGCTGATAGTTCTCATGCTGCTTGATCACTTCCCACCCCTGCTGCACCCTGGAGGCCTCACTCTTCTGTTTCTGGGTGAGCACAGCTCTCCTTCTCCGGGATCTCTCCTCATTCTCCCAGGCTTCCAGGGCATCAGGGCTCTGCTCATGGAAAGAGGGTCAGGGTTAGACTAAGATGCAAGGATCCCAGACAGCCTTCCTTCCCAGCTCTCCCCGCCCCGTGAACGCCTCAGATCTCTCATGCACCTTTCCACAGCACCCTGAGTCTGGGTGCTGGCTGCCCTCCAGGATCTGTTAGGTACAAGAAGCATTAACCTTTAACAGTTTTCTTTCTTGGAATGGCCACTCCCTTGACTTCCAAACCTGAGACCCTCTCTTACACCCCCTTGAAACTTTGCAGACCAGGAAGCCCAGAGATCCCCCTGCCACCCATCTTTCTCTCCCAGACACCTTTTTCCCCTTGCTTACCTGCTCCCGGAGGCTCTGCCAGGGATACCCTTCCCCCTTCTGGGAGGGCCCTCCGCTCCTCTGCAGCCGGCTCACCTCTCTCCTTAGGCTTTGCAGTTCTGTTTGTTGGGTCAGCAGAGCTATGGCACAAGCCACAGCTCCCAGAGCCGCCCCCCAACTCAACCAGAGGGCAACCGAGAGTGCTGGCTCTCGGACCGGGCCCCCCATGTCGCCTGGGGGCCCTTTAGGGGCTAGCAAGAAAGGAGATGAGGCTGGCATGAGCTGGGGACCCCACCCACAGCTGTGGCCTCAAGAGTGGGATGGCAAGGAGATGGCGGGGAGGGTAGGGGTGAGGGCAGTGGTGCAGAAGGGAAGAAGGGTGTTACGCAAGGGAGAAATAAAAAGGAACTTGAGAATAAAAAGGAGGGAGGAGGAAAGCAAGCTAGGGGTACTATCAGTGCCCCTGGCACTCCGTTGTGGGGCTAGTGTTGCCTTGAACCCCTTTACCCTCCCCAGCCTCAGGAGAATTAGGTTCCAGTCTCTCTAGGAAGGACAGGGCTGCCCGTGACACCCAGGAGGAGCGGCCAGTGCGCAGGAACCCTGGGGCAGCCCCAGAGTTGGGGGAGGGAAGGTTGGCTGGCTATGGGGCATGGTGCCAGGAGCCGGATGGGGGGCCAGGCTGGGCAGTGTCCAGGGCTTGGGTGAGGGTGAGCCCTCTGGCTCAGGCACGGGAGGGCTCTGGGGCATTTTGCTAGGGGTGACTGAAGGTGGGGAAGGAGGGGTGGGGTCGGTGGGGAGAACCAGGGGCACGGAAGCAAGAAGCTGGCTGAGTTCTGGGGTGAAGGCTGGGCCGGGTTTGTTGGAATAAGGCCTGCACTACTCCCTGTGCTGAACTTGGCAAGCAGGACTTCCTGTTTCCCGAGAAAAGCTCTTACATAAGGCTCTGGACGAAGAGACAAAGAGGCAGCCCCAGGCCCCCCAGCCACTGTAGGGGTCCTCCCGGCACCCAGGGCCCAGGCTCCCGTGAGCCTACTGACTTTGAGCCCCCTCCGGGGCTTCCCCCGCCCACCTTCCAATCAGGGCCTGTGCCAGCACCTGCTGAATGTCCCAAGGCCACTAAGAGGAAGGGCCCCTGCCCCTCCCAGCCAGGGATTCCCCCACAGGAGGAAGTCCGCCTCTTAGGGAAATGAGGCCGCTTGTGCTGTACCTTGGGCACAGGATTGATTTTTCTCCTGGGCGGTGTGCCTTTATACTCTCTGCTCACACCTGGGGTTGCAGTCATGTAGGGCCCACTCCCGAGCCTGAACAGCAGCCTGGAATTGCAGCTGTCCTGTGCCCCACTGCCCAATGCCCAGACCCTATTCCCATGGCTCTCAGCTACCCTGGAATGTCCCCTGAACCCCAATAAAGAGAGAGACCATGACTTATTCTCTTTAATATCCACTTATCAACATTTTGTCAAAATAATATTAAAAATAATATCTGTTTTAAAAATCCACAGGGAATTCTCAAAGGAGGAGCTTGTCCTCGTCTCTCACCCCTCACATCTGGTAACTCCTGGCCTAGGCCCAGCCTCTTCTGCTTCCGGCCGCCAGGTGCAGCCCCTCCTAGTGCCTGAAGCAGGGTCTTCTGGACCCATCCTTGCCCACAGAGTACAGCAAACACAGTGTCCTGGGGGGCTGTGGCCAGGGAGAATTGGGATAAATGGAGGCCTCGGAAGATCAGGGGTTTGGGAGCTGGTGAGGCGGAGAGTGGGAGGTGGGGGCATTGTAAGGGAGAATGGGAATGCTGTATTTATGTGGGAGGGAAAATGTGAACAAGCCCTGACAGCCGGCAGAGGCAGGGGCAGGCCAGGAGCCAGGAGCAGCTGAGGGTGGGCAGAGGGGACCAGGGTGCTCTGAGAGCTCTTGTGGGGAGCCAGCAGCCTGGGACATCTGCCTGGAGACCAGGGCCCCTCAGTGAACTTGGAAGAGTCCAAAGTAGGTGAGGAAGGGGGCCGCTTTGAGATGGGCCCAGGGCAGGGTGCGAATCCGCAGGGAGGACCCTGGCCTCAGAGGCAGTAGCCCAGACACCTGGCAGAGGCGAAGCTGGGGCCCCAGAGAACTCGCTGCTGTGGCCGAGAACTCCTCCAGGCAGCGCAGGGCCAGCATGTCATCCACCAGCAAGTCCAGCTTCAGGTAGACGGCCTTCCCCTCATCAAAGTGCACCTGGGGCGAAGGAGCGCAGACAGCATCCAGGCCTCCGCTTGCCCTTGCCCCGATTTCAAATTTCCTCAGAGATGTAGGCATCCCATCCTGCCCGAACCCCAAACTCTACCTCCCCAGCCTTCCGCTTGTCCCCCACTCTCCCCCTAAACAAACCCTTCTCCCCTGGTTCCTGCTTTACCCATGGAGCCAGGTGGGGCTTACCTGACAGTACAGGTAGTAGAGTCCAGCCCGGGTGACTATGAATTCCCCGACCTGGCGGTCATAGCGCAGAGGGCTGGAGCTGTTGATTTTGGCTTCCTCCCAGCCACTCACTGTCCCGTCCACACCTGAACATGGATGTTCAGAGATAAGGAAAAGTCCTTTTCCAGGACTGCCCCATGCTTCTCAGGGATCTGTTGAGGGTATTAACATTTGGGGCCCACCTTACCCAGAAGATACATAGATCGCCCAGGGCTACAGAGAAGCCGTGCCCTGTGGGGCCCATAGTGTAATCGGATTATGTGAAGAAATCTGACTTATGTGACCAGCAGGAGTCAGAGCAAACTGTAACCAGTGGTCGCTTCTGGGGAGAAGAGTAGGATTAAAGGAGACGTGGGGGCTTTTACATCTTACTTTATCTGTGTCTATATTGTTTCTTTTCCTTTTTTTTGAGACAGAGTCTCACTCTGTTGCCCTGGCTAGAGTGAGTGCCATGGCGTCAGCCTAGCCCACAGCAACCTCAAACTCCTGGGCTCAAGTGATCCTACTGCCCCAGCCTCCCAAGTAGCTGGGACTACAGGCATGTGCCACCATGACCGGCTAATTGTTTCTATATATTTTTAGTTGGCCGATTAATTTCTTTCTAATTTTAGTAGAGGCGGGGTCTCGCTCTTGCTCAGGCTGGTCTCGAACTCCTGAGCTCAAACAATCCGTCCGCCTCGGCCTCCCAGAGAGCTAGGATTACAGGCGTGAGCCACCGCGCCTGGCCCTTTTCCTTTTTTTTTTGAGAAACGGTCTTGTTCTGTTGCCCAGGCTGGAGTGCGGTGAAGTCATCATAACTAACTGCAACCTCAGACTCCTGGGCTCAAGTGGTCCTCCTACCTCAGCCTCCCAAGTAGCTGGGACAACAGGTTCATGCCACCACGCCCAGCTAATTTTTATATTTTTTTGTAGAGATGAGGTCTCGCTATGTTGCTCGGGCTGGTCTCAAACTCCTGGCCTCAAGCAATCCTTCTACCTCAGCCTCCTAAAGTGCTGCGATTACAGGTATGAGCCATCGTGCCCAGCCTGTTTGCTTTTTTTTTTTTTGAGACAGAGTCTCGCTCTGTCACCTGAGCTAGAGTGCCATGGCATCAGCCTAGCACACAGCAACCTCAAACTCCTGGCCTCAAGCGATCCTCCTGCCTCAGCCTCCAACTCCTGGCCTCAAGCGATCCTCCTGCCTCAACCTCCTGAGTAGCTGGGAATACAGGTGCGCACCACTACACCCAGCTAATTTTTCTATTTTTAGTAGAGTTGGGGGTCTCACTCTTGCTCTGGCTGGTTTCGAACTCCTTACCTCAAGCGATCCTCCTGCCTCGGCCTCCCTGAGCACTAGGATTACAGCTGTGAGCCACTGAGCCCAGCCTCTGTTTGCTTCTTTTATGTTGAAAATGTATACATACATTACTTGAATTGTTAAAGTTAAAAATAATAAAATGAGGCCGGGCGCGGTGGCTCACGCCTGTAATCCTAGCTCTCTGGGAGGCCAAGGCGAGCGGATTGTTTGAGCTCAGGAGTTCGAAACCAGCCTGAGCAAGAGCGAGACCCCATATCTACTAAAAATAGAAAGAAATTAATTGGACAACTAAAAATATATAGAGAAATTAGCTGGGCATGGTGGCACATGCCTGTAGTCCCAGCTACCAGGGAGGCTGAGGCAGGAGGATCGCTTGAGCCCAGGAGTTTGAGGTTGCTGTGAGCTAGGCTGACGCCACGGCACTCACTGTAGCCTGGGCAAAAGAGTGAGACTCTGTCTCAAAAAAAAAAAATAATAATAATAATAATAAAATGGCACCCAAATGTCCATCAATTGATGAATAGCTAAACAAAATGTGGCATATCCACACAATGGAATATTATTTGGCCATAAAAAAGGAACAAAGTACTGATACATGCTACAACATGGATGAACCTTGAAAATATTATGTTCATATAATACATTGTATGATCCCATGTATATGAAATGTCCAAATCGGCAAATAGAAACAGAAAGTAGATTATTGGTTGCTTAGGGTTGGGGAATGGTGGGAATAGGGGTGATCGCTAAAGGGTACAGAGTTTTTTTTTGAGGTAATGAAAATGTTCTAAAATCACCATAGTGATTGATAATTATACAACTCTGTGAATATATTAAAACCCATTGAATTGTACACTTTAAATGAGTATATTATTGGTATGTGAATTAGTGTCTCAATAAAGCTATCATTAAAAAAAACAAACCCAAACCCTAGAGCTAGGATAATTGCAAAGTGCAAAGAACAGGAATAATAAAACAATAGAGCACGGTGTCAGGTGGCATCCCAGCTCCTCCCCGGTGCACCCTGCCTCCCTTGCCACTGTCATCTCACAGGCTCGCTCCCCAGAACACTCCTCCCAGGGTCCCTGCCCTGGCTTCGTCTTCCTGGGTCACCCAGTTTAAAATCACCAGCCCAGCCCTGCCTGCACTAATCTCTTCACACCATCCTGTTTCTTTCATAGCAGTCAGTAACATGAGAAATTACCTTGTTTATTTATCTATGTGTTCGTTTGGGGTCTGACTGCCCCTTGTAAGAGAGCAAGGATGATCGTCTTATGTTATCTTGTTCCTCACTATAGCCTCGGCACCTGGAGCTGGGCTTGGCCTGAGTGAGCGCCCAGTAAGCCCAGGAGGGAGGACTGAAGGAACGCAGTGGCCATGGCCGGCAGCCCCCTCCTCGTTTGGGTCCTCCCTGGCTGGCTCACAGGGGCTTGGGCAGTTAGTTGCCTTCCCCAGCCCCTTCCTCTGCCAGCCACGGGCTCTGCCCTCATCACTTTTTCAAGTAAAAAGTAACTGTAACTCTCGCTGGGAATTTTTTTCTTTTCTTTTCTTTTTTTCTTTTTTCTCTTTGTTTTTTCAGATAGAGTCTTGCTGTATCGCCTTGGGTAGAGTGCAGTAACATAAGCATCATGCTCTTGGCAAACCCAAGGCATTTGTACCAGTGAGTGGCTCCTTCTCCCTGCAACGTCCTTGACCCCTTGCCCATCTCACACTAACACTTCCAGGCCCCGCGGCCATCGTAGGGAGAGAGTCCCTGATTCCACAGTACGTAGCGGTCTGTTTTCCCCCATGCTGCCATGTATCTTTGGCCACTTCCATAATTGTTCTTGTCATATCACATTGTAATTACAAATGTATATGCTTGTTTCCTCTCCTAGACAGTGACGCCTTGAGAATAGGTCTGGGGATTAGTTGCTGTGGGTGCCTAGCCTGGCCCCTAGCAAACAGCAAGTTCTCAGTGCATGTGTGTTGACTCAATGAATGAATGAATGTCTGGGTAACTGACAAAATACGTGGTCTACACAGAGGGGAGGAAGGCTGGCCCAGGCACAAAGAGTTGAGAGGGGAGAGAAGCTCTGCTCTCTTCTTCCTGGCATTCCCAGCCATGGAGCCAGCCTGAGCAAAGGCTGCTGCTTGTAGCCAAAGGGCAGGGTGTGCCTGGGACCGTGGAGGTGTTTCCTGATGTCATCTGTCTCCAACCACGTGTCACATGGATAGTCTGTGCTGCCTGGCAATCCCACTTTCCCCCCTAAGCTTGCTTCCGTACTCACCAAGATGAGGATTTTTGTACTGTCTCTCCTCAAACCTCATGTTCCTGTCTCCCTAGTTCTCCAGAGGGCTTGGAAGTGACCAGGCAGTGGCTTCCTCATCTTGCCCCAGCAAATCTACAAAGCCATCAGTTCTCATGTTCTCCTCTGGCCATCTAGTGATGATGGGAGATGTGTCCTCTCTTCCTTCTGGAAACCATCCCCCTCAACCTTCTTGGATGTGGCCCCTGCAGGTCCCCCTCACCCCTGCATCAGCAATCTCGCCTCTCGTGCAGACCATGTCCAGTACATGGGCACACTCTAGCTGGGTTCAAATCCTGGCTCCGACACTGAGCATCGTCATGACCTCGGACAAGTTGTGTAACCTCCATCTGTGAAATGGAGGTAATCAGGGCATCTTCCTTTTAGGGCTGTCATGAGGATTAGCTAAGACCAAACACATGAGTGCCAGACAGAGTGCCTACCCCAAGGAAGCACTCAATAAATGTCAACTGAGATTAAAGTTGTATTGCTGACAGGACTAAACTTTTCCCTGATCCACATCCCCCTGTACCTACTTGTTTCTTTGCTCCTTGTTACAGAGAAACTTCTGAAAAGGGTTGTCCCTGTCTCTGATTCCTTAGCTCCCATTTTTTTCTCTACCTAATCCACGCTGCCTTCCATCCTAACGACACCACCGAAACCGCCCTCGTTAAGGTCAACAGTTGACTTTTATGCTAGCAAACCCAGCCTCATTCCTCTGTTCTCATCTCATGTGACCTCTCAGCTGCATTCAACACAGACAGCCACATCCTCCTTCTTGAAACAGTGCTTTCTTTTAGAGTCCAGGACACCACCCTCCCTAGGTTTCTTCCTCTCTCTCTGGCTGCTTCTCAGTCTCCTCTACTGGTTTCCCTCCTCTGGCCCACTTCGACATGTCCAGGAGCCTCAGCCCTTTGTTCGTGGGGCCCTTCTTTCCCCTGGTGTCTCACCCAATCCTGTGGCTTTAAATGCCTTCGAATACCATCCGTCTGGCCGTCCTGACTTTATACGTCCTGGCCTAGCCTGAGCTAGTCTACCATGTCCAGCCATCTATCTGTGGAATTTACTTATTATCATTGTTTATTTAGACATCTCAAAGTTAATTATTATTTCACACACCTCCCAACCTATTTCTTCCCTGGTCAACCCCATCTCAGGAAATGGCATCATTCTTCCCAGAAACTCAAGTTAATAATCTGGAGGTCATTTGTGATTCCTCCCTTTCTCTTATTCTTCACATCCAACCCACAAGCAAGTCTTCGAGCCACATGCTGAATCCATCCACTTCTCTCCACCCCTGTTGCCAACCCCCTAGGCTGAGCTCCCTTGTGTCTTGCCTCCCAGCCTACACAGTGGAAGGACATTCCAGGTGAGGGAACACTAAATGCAAAGCCCAGAAGAGGCACACAGTGGGGAAGGAGTGTTAGCCCAGCATGCATGGAGAATGCATAAGGTATGCAGGGAAAAGAGGCTGAGACCAGACCACAGAGAGGCTGCAGGCCAACCAGAGAGGCAATGCAATAATGCCAGTGTGGTGTAGGGGGCTTTGCTTGGCAGCATAGGCGGGACCCAGGGGAGGAGTGGGGGAGTGTGGAAGGGGGAAGAAGCAAGAGGCTGGGTTTGAGGTTCTGAGGTCACAGTGTTGAGGCGGGGAGGTGGGGTAGAAATGGAAAAGATGAGCAAACACTGGAAACATTTTGAGGAAAAATGATCAAGGCAGGAAGACACATGGACTATGGGGAAAAGGAGAGGGAAGAATCAAAGGTGCTTCTTGGAGAAGGAGGAGGGCTGAAGGAGACGGCTGGGTGGTGGTTTGGTGGGACAGCTGGCCTGGGTTCTGGGGAGGGGCAGGGTCCCTGCCTGGATCACAGAGAGGACCAAGCCCTGAGGACCTTCATGAACCGGCTTCTGGGGTTCCCAGGCTAGGGAGGGGGGTAGGAAGCCAAAGGTTTTGAGGGGCCCCTTTCCCAGGAGGCCAGTGCTGTGTGAGGGATGGGGTCTCACCCGCCTGCGCTCCGTCCTGTCCAGGTCGTGGGTGAACTGTAAGACAGGAAAGCATCAGTGACACCTTCCCTGCCCCTCTGCGGCCCCTCCTCCCTGGGCATGGTTCACCCATCACCCACCTTCATAGTGGGCTGCAATTGCTCTGCGAGCCCGTGTTTTCCGGCCTTTAGGTGCTGAGAATCAAGGAAAGACAGATGAGCAAAATGGGCCCCTCTGGGGCCCATCCCCCAGCCCTGTTCCCCTCTCAGGGACCCTGGCATCCTCATTCTTGTCCAGACTCCTGGCCTCAGAATCTCAGGCCTCATCTTCCTGCATAAGTAGAGTGACATATAATTTATCATCCAAATTGGGGTACTTCTGAGAGCAAAACGAGATGCCATTAATAACCACACTGCAAAAATGGGTACACACGGGACAGTCCCACACAAACCTGGATACAGGGTCATATGATCATCTCATTCTCTTTGTCTACTGGGGCCCAGGCTTCTGACTCCTCCACCTTGGCCCTAGGGGTTGTCCTAACTCCTGGCCATCCCTCCTTCATATTTGGAGTAGGGTCTGAAGAAGCGTGTCCCTTCAGAGGGAGGGCCAGAGTGCCCAGCTGGGAGTGGTTAGCTGCATGTCTCTGGACCTCCCTCCACTCTCTGGGCCTCACTTTCTCTGTGAGGATGACGGTTTTGCTCTGCCCACTTTATGGGGCTGTTATGAACAAAAGCAATAATGAATCCAGAAGCCACTGCAGACTGGAACTACTGTTATTCCCAAGGTTGGGATAGCGGGATGCTCACCACTTCTGCGAGGCCGAACTAATCGTTTCAGGAAAGGCACAGGATCCCGACTTTGCTCTGTCTGGGGATTCAGTTCCTAGGGGAATTAAGGGCAGGGCTCAACCAGGGACTCCCAGAGACATAAACTGAGACACACAGGGCCTATCAGCAGAGCCACCAGCCAGCAATAGGCACAGAAGTCTCAGGGAGAGATCACGCCCCTTGGCCAAGTATGGCACCAGCCAAGGGGCGGGCAAGGTGCTGGGGATCAGGCCCTGTCCTCACCCCATTCTGGAGACCAGCCACACCTTCCCCACCCCCCAGAACCGACACAGACCCTGCAGGCAGTTGGCACATTGCACATAGCCCCACCCACAGCCGGCGTGCACGCACCCTGTACACGACAGCATCCCTCTTCCCCGCTTGCATATCTCACACTCCCATGTCACCCACAGCCAATAAACACTTTGGACTCAGATGGCACAAGCCCAGCACAGGCCCCCTTACACACAGTTGTCACCGGTCACCCTCTCTCCCCCACACAAACACACACACACACCCCCGACACACACCCATGCATGCACCATCTTCATGCACACTGGCATACTTCCCATGCCCAGCAGCCTGCAGACGGCACCCACACACCCACTCACCAGAGGGTCCTGGTCCTCCTCTGCCACCAGCTCCCCCTGGGAAGGCTCCTGCTGGGAAGGAGGCAGCGTCACCCTGTCCTTTTCCACCTGACACCTCACCCTCCACCCATCCTCTGGTGCCCTTGCCCTCAGCCCACCCGGCCCCCGGGGGCTTCTCTGCAGTCTCTGCTCCTAAAGTGCCCAGGGAGGGGCGTGCAGCAGGCCCTCACCTGAGCGGACAGCGATGCCTGGCTCCCCAGGCTGACCGCGGCCAGCAGGAGGCCAAGGCCCGCCAGCGCCAGGCCCAAGCCCAGCATGAGCGGGGCCAGCAGGGCGGTGCCCGGCTCCCCCCGGCGCCCCCTCCGCCTCTGGCTCCGACGGGCGGCCATGGGGGCGGGGGGCTGTGCCTGCCTCACCGCCCCCCCATCCCGGGACCCGAGGGATCGGGGGAGGGGGAGCGGGCGGGCGGGCCGGGCTGGGGAGAGGGAGGGGCAAGGGAAACGGGGCGGGAGGGGGGACGAGGACAGGAAGCCGGACGCTGTTTGTGTGTGATTAAACTCCGCTCTCGCCTAGCGCAGCGCGGCGCGGACGGGGTGGGCGCGCAGCCGACTTCAGAGCGTCCGGGCCCCGCGGGACGGTGCCCGGGATGGCACTGCACGCAGGGCGCCCGAGAGGCAGTGAGAGCAGAAACGAGCAGGAACTCCACCGGGCCTGTGCGCCGCGATGAGGCTGCGAGGCCCCTGGAGCCCCCTCGAGGGAACCCGGCGCTCGGGCGTGCGGGGCCGGGGTCGTTATTCCCTCCGTCTACACGGTTAGGGCCAACGCGTCCTCCTCCTCCTCCGCTGTAGACACTTTGGATTTTATCAGCTGCAACTAAAGACAGTACTTTCCAGGAAGTAACTGGAAAAGAGCTTGAGGATGCCTATTAACGTGGGTTATGTTTTCACTTCTTTGAGCAAATCCGTTGGTAGTTGATCGAAACTGCAGCGTCCTGCGGCTCGGGAGAGCAAGCCAGACGCAGGGCGCGTCCTCAGGCAGTGTGTCCCCAGGACGTACTTCTCTGGAAACGCGGCCGCCACTTCAGCTAATGGCAGAGCTTACGGAGCTCAAGGCAGAGCTAACAAACAGCAGCCCCGTAAACGAATCTGGGGGAAGAAAAGTTGGACCCTTTTTGCCATGACAACAGTTTCGTACACAGCAAGGTCCGCAAAAAGTCCTTTAACCTGTAATGTTCGCACGTCTGCAGTGAAGGTGTTAGAAAACAATTGAGTGAGAGTAATCATTAAACAGCAGGGTAAAGCGGTGTTTCTCAGTAAGGTAAGGATGTGGACGGCCTCCCGCCAGGCGGGTCTCCTTCCCTCCTTGGCTGCTGTCCTGTCACCTGCTGAACAGCCTTTCCTGCTTCAGGGTCTCAACGCAAGTTATTCCCCTCACCTAGCACACTCCGGCCACCTCCACCTGCAACTTAGGTCACTTCAGGGAGAGTTTTTCAGATCATCTTTTAAAATTAGGATGCCCAGCTCCCCTCATTCTCTCCCCTGGTGCCATTTATTTCTTTCTTAGTTATCACAATTTGGAATGATACACTTGACTACTTGTGTATTGTTGACCTCCCCAAATATATTGTAAAATAGTATGAAATTTCATAGTTCCTGGTTTGCCTGCTTATTGAGTCTCTAGAATGTAAACTGTATGAGGATGTTATTCACCATTATATCCCCAGCACCTGTGAAATGTCAGCTTGTCAGCTATTACTAGAACAACTTGTTGAAAAGACAAAGCTGAGTTTATGGCTTACCCCTCAACAGTCTGTCTGACTGTACCTTGTGGGAAGAAGGGCAAGGCCATGATATTTGTTGAGACTTGGAAGTCTGGTTGTAGGGGCTTGGCTTTCAATGCTGGGGTAGGCGTAGGGGTTGATGAGGGTTGGGTAAGGGCCATGCTATAATAGTTTAGGATGAACGCAGCAAAGGGAGGATTTTGAGGTGAGATCTTCAGAAAGTCTAAGGGTGTGAAATGTCCATTGCTTCTTTCTATTGAAGAGCTGACAGATCTTTCAGGAAGTTCCTAGAATAAACAATAAAGTTAACTTGAGGGCCATGGCTCATGCCTGTAATCTCAGCACTTTGGGAAGCCAAAGTGGGAGGATCACTTGAGCCCAGGAGTTGGAGACTGCAAGGAGCTATGATCACCCCTCTGCACTCCAGCCTGGGCAGCAGAGTGAGACCCTGTTTCTAAAAAAATAAAATAAAATAAAAATAAATAAAGTTAATTTGAAACATTCAATTCATTTCAAATAATAGTTATAGCAATGAAGATAGTGGAATACTCATGTTAATGTAGATAGTAAGCTATGTCAAGAGTATGTGGTTTCAGTTCTCAGCCTACAGCAGTGCCTTGAACATAATAGATGCTTAATCAACATTTGTTGGTTGACTGAACTGGTTGACAACTGAAAACTCCAAGAAAACAAGGACCATATATGTCTTGTCCTTTGCTTATATTCAGTAGCTAGTACAGTATCTGGCAAACAGGGAGCACTCATTAAATCTTCTCGAATGGACTCTAGTGGTTGATGTTTGATACAGGGAGGAGAAAGAAACACAAGAGGCTTTGGTGGAAAGCCCGGAAGGAATTCTGGTCATTGCGAGGATCCATATAACTTAATGGCACTGACTGAAATTTCATTTTACTTCACACTTGTGACTTTCGTGTTTTTCCTTGATACAAGGGTTTCTCTGGCATTATTCTGTGCTTAGTAGATACGGTTAGGGTTATTTGGGTCACAGAAATGAAATGAAGAAAGGGATGAAAAGGATTTTCTGAGGTCATTGGGCAAGAGTTAGAAGTCAAGGAAAGGAGAGAGAGATGGAAATTGGTACCACAGACTGTTGTCTGAGCTAGGGGAAGAACTGAAGAAAGCCTGGCTGGGCACAGTGGGTCACACCTGCAATCCCAGCATTCTGGGAGGCCCAGACAGGAGGATCGCCTGAGGCCAGGAGTTCAAGCCAGCCTGGGCAACATAGCAAGATCTTGTCTCTATAAATTTTTGTTTAATTTTTTTTGTTTGTTTTTTGAGACAGAATGTCACTCTGTTGCCCGGGCTAGAGTGCCGTGGCGTCAGCCTAGCTCACAGCAACCTCAAACTCCTGGGCTCAGGCGATCCTCCTGCCTCAGCCTCCCGGGTAGCTGGGACTACAGGCACGCGCCACCATGCCCGGCTAATTTTTTCTATATATTTTTAGCTGTCCAATTAATTTCTTTCTATTTTTGGTAGAGACGGGGTCTCGCTCTTGCTCAGGCTGGCCTCGAACTCCTGAGCTCAAACAATCCGCCCGCCTTGGCCTCCCAGAGTGCTAGGATTACAGGCGTGAGCCACCGCGCCCGGCCAAATTTTTGTTTAATTTTAAAAATTAAAAAGAAAGGCTGAGGAGAGCTCGTGTTCAGTCTCGAGGGAGTTTGGCCCTGAGCTTCCATCAGGGCCAAGGCTGAGGAAGGTCTTGGTTTTTGTAGCCATGGTGGTCTATACACGCCATGAACTCCCTTCCTTCACATGGCCAGACAGTTCCCCAGCTGGAAAAGCCTCACCACACAAAAGCAGTGCTTCTGCTTTCTTGAAGTAACTCAGTTTCCTTCCTCAGTTTACCTGCTCTCTCCTCAGCTCTGAGGCCAGGGCCTTGAAAGCAACACTCTGAGATAAAGGTGCAAACCCTGTGTTTGAGACATGACCTTGACATTCAGTAAAGAGTTAGAGTTCTTGGATTTCCACTGACCTTGATGAATGAGCCATTACCGTGGGCCTCTGTCAATCTGTGTACTGGCTGTGTGGGACAATTCAAAAAGAAAACCGGATTTCTGATTCAAGGCCAGGCATACTCCTTTGCCTCCAATTCCTCATTAGATCCCACTGAAATATAAGTAGAAAATACAAAAAGAAATGAGATCAAATATGGCAGGGAGAGGGGGGCCATCCAAGTCTGGTTGCTTAAGCTGCTGAAGAGAGGCAATGTCCTTGGTCAGCAGGGACTGGAAACATGGCATTGACTGAAGGTCTGCAGGACAGGTCATCAGCACAATTAGTGACCCCACTTCCCTTCCTCCCCCAGAAGGCATTTTCCTTCTGAGAAAATATCAGCCATCTTGTCTCCAAAGAAATGGAATCAATTTTCTGAGGGAAGTTCAGGCTTCTAGTATAAATATTGGCAGTCAAGAAAAAATGTTCCTTATTCTAGCATTTGGGGTAGCCCACAGTCTGACAGGTGACCATCAGCCCTCCACCACCCAAATTCAAGGGAGATAGAGATGTCCCTTTCCTCTAGGTATAGGAAGGGCACCTCTCACATGAGGTTCTTATTACCTGCTTCAGGAAAAGGGCAAGGAATTCTAGCTTTTATTACCTGGTTCAGGGGAGAAGGGCAAGAGAAGGGCAGAGAGACCTTCATGCTTCTGTAATATTCTCAAATTTCTTCAGCCTAAAGTACTCACTATGCCAAGATGCCTTAGTTTGGGGTAGAGTGTTCTAAACCTCATGATTACTAGTGATCACCATGCATATGAGGAGGACTCGCAGTGTGTAAAAGAAACACCAAGATGAACCAACAGAAAATCTGAAACTGGAGGAAACAGAGATAATTCAGGGTACAAAGAGAACTACCTAATATACTTTCAAGAGATTCAAGAAGACATAACATCCATAAAATAAGAACTGGATACTATATGAAAAAGGAACAATAAGAGAACAAGAAATATTTCTCAGAGACTAAAAATGTGATTGCAGAAGTAAAATGTTCAGGGCCAGGCATTTATGCCTATAATCCTAGCACTTTGGGAGGCTGAGTCTGGAGGACTGGTTGAGGTCAGGAGTTCGAGATCAGCCTGAGCAAGAGTAAGATCCTGTCTCTACAAAAAATAGAAAAATTAGCCAGGCATGGCACACACCTGTAGTCCCAGCTACTCTGGAGTATGAGGCAGGAGGATTGCTTGAGCCCAGGAGTTTGAGGTTGCAGTGAGCTATGATGAAGCTACTGCACTCTAGCCAGGGTGCCAGAGCAAGACTCTGTCTCAAAAAAAAAAAAAAAAGTAAAATATTTAATAGAAGGATTTTAAAAACTCTAAAAATATAGAACAAGAAAACAGAAAGATGAATATCAGGGAGAAAAGGTAATAAAGGCAGAAGATCAATCTAGAAGGACCACATGATTATTCGGAATCCCAGAAAATGAGAATGAATAAAATGAAGGAAAGGCAAATATCTTAGTAAAAAGTAAGAGATAATTTATAGAACTGAAAGGCATGTCTTCATTCTGAAGGATTTATATTGTGCTCAAGACAATGAATGAAAAATCATCCATACTGAGACACTTCCTCATGAAATTTCAGAATGTCAAGAATAAAGAGAAGATTTGAAAAGTTTCTAAAGAGAAAAAACAATTCATCTCTAAAGGAACAAGAATCAAAATGACTACCAATATTTCATCAA